CGCAGTCCCTCCTCCTCCATCCTCCTCTCGGGATCTTGGGCACGCACGCACATGCGCCCGGCGTGAGTTTTAAGCCACCGGGTCCGGGACGCGAACCGCAGTCGACTACATGGGAGTCCTGCGACATAGCCATTATGCTAACTGCTGGTTCCTGTCAGAGCTCTTATTGACTCAATATGGAATACTGGGTATGTTTTTGAGGGCCAGAAGGCTCTTCACCTTCATACAGAAGGTACTATCACATGGACTACCAAATTCAAAGTTATTATAAGGATCAAATGAAGGACCAGCAGTTGGTATAGTGGTTAAGGTGCTGGACTCCCACATGGCTGACCATGGTTCGAGCCCCGCACACAGCACCTTCAAACTCCTATGGAATGCGTGCGCACATGTTCCCAAAATCCCCAGAGGAGAAGGGATTCAAGCATGGCCACCTCCTTTGAGGAGTGATTTCTCATCCCTCCTGTCTCTGTCTTTCTCCAGTGAGCACACACACTCTTTGGCAAAACCCCTCCCCCCAAATATGTAAGGCTACTCAGTCACAGTAACAAGTGACACAGCAGTAATGCCACCACACTACAATGCTGGAGCCATATGGATCTAGGTTCAATTCTCAAGTCAACCTATACATGCTGGACATGCCACCCTCCCTGGCTCTGGAAAGACTCAGGGGAGGATAAGGATGTGAGAATCTGTAGAGGGTGCTTATCTGTCTGTCTGTCTCTCTCATGAAATAAATAAGTAAACTATAAGAAAAAGGCAGAAATTACATTTCATTTATTTTAAGTGACTAGTTCCATAAGAAAAAAAAATACTAAGAGAATATGCCAAAACATTAACAATGATTATTTTTGGAAGGTAAGACTACAAATTTACCCTCTACTTACAAATGTTAAGATCTACTTAGAAAATAATAAGTAATATGTGGGGGTCAGCAGGTGATACAGTGGGTAAGGCACCGGACACTCACATAGTTAAAGTGATTTGAGTTCTGGACTCAGCAGTTTGACACTCACACAGGGTGCATATACATGAACCTGAAAATGCCCAAAATCCTGAGAGGAGAATGGAAGAGGGACCATGGTATGGCCATCTTCCCTGGGGGATGATTTCTTGCTTTCAGTCTGTCTCTCCAGTGAGCACCCATGTTGTATAGCAAAAATCTCTAAAAAGGCAAAAAAGTAGTATGTGTAAATGCACTAAGTATAAATCTTCCAAATAACAGAGGGTTAACCATTTCCAGTCCCTCATTCCCCCACTCTAACAGATAACTATGAGTTGATCTAGAACATATCTTCTACTCTGAATTTAAGCATAATCATATATATATATATATATATACATATATATATATATAGTGGATCGTCTTTTTTTTTTTCTTTTTCTTTTAAATATTAGAGGGCACATGCATATATGAAGAGCAGGGGAAGAAAGCACCTCCTCCAAAGGGACCTGGTTACTCTGCAATCCTTCTTCCAAGTCTCCATCCTGTCTGGATCCTGCGCATCTATGCATGTCTGCCATGTTTTTCAAGCTGCTGGGGTCAGACTCCAAATCTGCAGGCCACTTGGGATCTAGCTTCCTCTGCATAGTGCTAACCACTGGGCTACAGGGCCAGTTCAGATTACCTTTCTTAACACACAGTCACACTATAAATATGTTCTTTGACATGTTTCTTAAAACCTTGGTAATGATTGGGACAAGCAGTTAGCGTAATGGCTACATCACTGGACTCCCACGTAGTCCACCGTGGTTCGCGTCCCGGACCCAGTGGCTTAAAACTCACGCAAGGCGCGTGTGCGTGCATGCCCAAGATCCCAAGAGGAGAATGGAGGAGAAGGGATTGCGGCGTGGCCATCTCCCCTGGGGGGTGATTTCTCACTTTCTGTCTCTCTGTCTCTCTCTGCCTCTCTGGCGAGCGCAGGTGCCCTATAGCAAAAACCTCTCAAAAAAAAAAAAAAAACATTGATAATGGCTGTATGATATGCCTAATTAAGATGTAGCATAGCTTACCCATTTCCCTCTCAATGAAATTTAGATTCTTTCCTCTTTTCCATGATGGCAAACAGTCCTTCAAGTAACAGGCACATACACTAGCTAAACACTTTTCATTTTTCTATCTTTGGAAAAGTTTGAAACTCTTTAAACATTAGGCCAGCCGGTAGCTTAGTGAATAAGGCAGTTGGATCCCAAACAGCAGACGGCATGATTCTAGTCCTCAACTTGTCAGCTTGTAAAATATGCCAGAAGTATGCGCATGTGTTCCCAAATTCCCAACAGGAGAATGAAGGAAAAGAGAATGCCGCGAGGCCATGCCTCCTGGGGAATGCTTTCTCACGTTCTCTTTATCTCTCTCTCTGTGTATCTCTCCAGGAAGTGCATATGCCCTGCAGCATTTTTTTTAAACATTAAAAAGACAAACAAACAAACAAACAAAAAACTCACTTTGGCTTGGAAGGAAATGTTTCAAGATGGTTGTCTTTGATATTACACATTTCATTGCTGCTACTGCCATGGTGAATCAAGAGGCTTCTTAGGTGGCACAAAAAAAAGTTGTTCCGAAGAGAAATTGCTTTTAAAATCTGCTTTTAGACAAACTACTTTTCAACCCTATTTAAGAGAGAAAGAAAAATCCGCATAAACTTAAATGGCATGGTATATTAAGCACTACAAGAACAAGACACAATTCACCACCTAGGACTACAGTCACTTGAAGTGAGGCTTTTAAACTTTTCATTTATACAAAATTTAACAACAGGACTAAGAGCAACATCAAAAGCTAAGAAATCCCAGAACTATGTGCCTTGTCATTTCTCTTCAGTGCAAACTTCTCAGCACCCAGTACAGTCCTTGCTACTTAATGAGTATTCAGCAAGTCTATAATTGCTCATAGAGAGTCAGTCACACCTGGTACAGAGAGCATCTATTCTCATAATGCTACTTTGTCTGTATTCAGCCTCCCAGCTACCATACACAAGAGCTTATTACATCACTTACAGTAGTGCTGTTTTAGAGTAAAAGAAATATTAAACAAGAAGGCCTTACTTTGGCCTCTAAAATACTTACTTAGAAAATCCTATTACCGTCCCAATGTCCCAGATAAAATTCCACCACCTTATATGTGTACGGGTTGAGTGGCCCTAATCCGAAAATCCAAAATGCCCAAAATCCATAATCTTTTTTTTTTCCCCATAGGGTCCATGTGCTCACCAGAGAAAGATAGCAAGGGACATTGAGAGGGAAAAAGAAATCACCACCCCCAGAGAGGAAGGCCATGCTGCAATCCCTTCTCCTCCATTCTCCACTCAGGATTTTGGGCACACATGCACACTCCTCCCCCAGCGTGATCTTCAAGCCTCTGGGTTAGGGACTTGAACTGTGGTCAGCCATATGGGAGTCCAGAGCCTTATCTACCATGCTTCCTCCTAGCCACATAATCTTTTCAGTGTCCATGTGACACCACATGTGTAATGGACTCAGGGTGGCAAATAGCGTGGTGGTTAGAGGTGTTGGATTCCCACATGGTCAACTGCAGTTTGAGTCCTGGACCTGATGGCTTGCCTTTTTACTTCCCTTTCTCTCTCTGACTCTCTCTAGTCAAATTAAAATAATAATAATCAATGGAATTAAATACATAAATGAACTCTTTAAAAAAAATTTTCACCCTTAAACTCACATGGTGAGTTGCAGTCAAAATGCTGCAATATGCCAGCTCCATTAAGCTGCTGCATCGAGAGCCAGATCCCACATGGCGAATTAAAGTTCAAAATTCCAGACCCAGCAGCTAGAAAGAGACACCAGGCACCTGTGTGTGCATGCCCCAAATCCTGATGGGGTGGACAAATGTAGAAATGATCATGCCCCATTGGGGGATGCTTTCTCTTTCTCTTTCTCCCTTTTTGGCACGCATACTGTCTTTTGGGTAAAATTACCATCACGCTATGTGTATAAGTTGTAGGTGAAACATAAATGAGTATCATGTTTATACATGGGTCTGATTTCTAAGATATCTCATTACATACATTTAAATATACCCAAATCTGAAAAAATCCAAAATTCCAAACACTTGTGGTCCCGAGCATTTGGTATAAGGGATACCCAACCTGTAACATGTTTTTACCTTTCCAAGGTGTCGACACTACTTCATCATTTTACTCTAGTATTAACCATGTGAGGTATCTTTAGTTCCCTTCACTTTGCTTATCTTTAGAGTTATGGAGACACTAAAGTACAAAATGTAAAAGACTTGCTTCCAACAACTTTAGTGTTAGTCACTTACAAACAGGGTAACCCTTGGCAAATTGTTAAAAGACCCTATTTCTTCAATGATAGAATGGGCTGTTGTGAATAAATGACATATATGTTATGCCACTTGTCTTTAATCAATCTCAATGACTATTCCAGCTCTTACCCAAATAATGATGAAGGGGAGGTAAGACACAGGTCTCTCACTTGCTAGACTCTAAACTATGCAGACCAATTCCTTGCTCTACAATTTACCACCCGTTTTTACATATATTAAATGCTCCGACTTGAACAGTGTATAAAATCGGCATCTTCACCGCACAGACTTAAGCACAAAAGGTGAGAGAGGTCACATGATTTACTTGTCCCCCTAATCCACCTCTATATAGGTGACATGGACAGGATGGGGGGAGGGCAAAATTATGTCTTCTGACGATGAGTCCATGAACAAAACATTGGGGGGACATTAGGTCCCCTCTATCCAAGGTCCAGAAACATGCACGCCCATATGGGGGTCAGATCATTCTAGGGAGAGACTTTCAGAGTGTAAATACCGGAATTCAACCTAAAAGCAAAACTACAGAGACTCAGAGGGTCGGTGGTTTGAGGAACAGGCTACCAGGAGCACAGGAACTAGCAGCTGGAGACAGATCCGGACGACTTCGACCTGGAGAGGTACCCAGAATCACAGGCTCCATCAGCTCCTCCGGCGTGTGCCCACGCGGACCGTCTGCAGGGCGGAAGGAGCTGGGCAATCCCGGAGCCTCGCCCAGCCAGGAGCGTTGGGCAGGAGACCACGACACCTGGAAAAACGTTCGGGGCCTGCCTGCTTCTAGGGGTTCTTCGACTAGAGAAGAGGGCATCGGTTACCTTGACAGGTCGTCACGGCGAGCCCGCCATCTTGTCCCAATCCGGGTCCTGCAAGACGCTGCCTCCACCCCCACCCCCGGTGCGTCCTCTAGTCCGCGGGGCACTCTGGGAAATGTAGTCTCCGCGGGAAAACGGCCCGGGTGTGGAGCGAGAATAGGGCTCTTCTTAAAGGGCTCTCGCCTTTAATTACAGCTACCTGGCCACACTGCTTTCCGAGGTGCCCAGAGAAGCAAAATCAGTGCCCCACCCACACGTCCCTAGAAAGAAAACGATGCGACTTAAAAAAAGTTATGTTAATATTCGGAGAAATGCTATATTGCTCGAGGTTTGCCTGGGAAGGGCATTCCAGAAAAGCCCAGAAGTGTGTGTGTGTGTGTGACACACACACACACACACACGTGGTGGAGGGATAGGACTTTGACGTTTGGATCAGTCTGTAGAAGCTCGAGAAGCTGAGCAACCTGGCCACACCGCTTTCCGAGGTGCCCAGAGAAGCTCGGGAAGCCCTCCAAGCTGAAAAACCCCATCGGGTTCTCATAACTGCTTCCTGTCAATTGTGGGTGGAAGACAATGTGCAGAATCCTAGACGCTGCCTATCTTAGGAGGGAGAAAAGACTCCGGGACCTTTGCATGTTCTTTTCTTAAGGTTGGCAAAACTTTCTCTCCTTTTTCCCTTTTTTAAATTATATTTTTAATTTAATTTTTATTTATTATTATCACTATTATTTCCCTTCTAATTTGTTATAGGGCACATGTGCTCACCAGAGACAGAGAGAGGGGGTGAGGGGAAGCCTCCAGGTCTGGGACTCAAAGGATGGTTGGCCATGTAGGAGTCCAGCATCTCAACTACCACCACCTGCTGGTCCCCCTCCTCTTTTTTTCATGACCATTGCCTCATTTTATGCATGTATTACTTAAATATCTCAGAAAGGAGCACACTTTAAAATCAACAATCCCTTCACTGAAGGAAGATAAAGGAAGCTTTATCTCATGGCTTCTTTTACTTTCTTTCAGAACATTTATCATTATCTGCCATCATGTGTCATTTGGTTGCTTGTTTAATGTGTGTCTCTTATACTGCAATACAAGCTCCACCAAGACAGATGGATGTACCTATCTTATTTTATACAGTGTACAAATCCAATACCTACAACAGTGCTAGGTCTCCACGAAGTGTTTGTTGAATGAATAAAATGATTAAATACCACTGCAAATATCCAAGATAGTAGATGAGTAATTGCTAAAGCAGCACTTTAGCCTGGAAATTACCTTCCCCCATGTTTGCAGAATGTTGCATTTTTGTACATTTTCCTGAGAAAGGATCCATAGCTTTTGCTGTGTAATCAAAGGAGTCTTTCAATCCCTTAAAAAGTGCAGGACTTAAAAAGTAAGTCTCCTCATTTCCCACAGAACATTAGGGACCTAATGTTTGCTTAGGTGGAAATCCACATAGAGGATCTATCTCTGGCCTTAACTTTCTTCTTTTTTTTCTTTTAAATTATTATTTATTTAATTTTATTTATTCATTCATTTATTTTAATTTGACCAGAGAGAGACACAGAGAGAGAGACAGAGAGAGAGAGGGAAAGGGAGAAAGGAAGCCGCCAGGTCTAGGACTCAAACCGAGGCCAACCATGTGGGAGTGTCCAACACCTTAACCACCACGCCACCTGCTGGTCCCATTTGGCCTTTCCTTTCTTATCCATCCTTCAACGCCACTCTGTGATGCCCTTCTGGATTCTGCCATGGGAAGGGATGAAGAAGGGAACGAGATTTGAATGAATAATCAACTGGTCTTGTTGAATATCCACTGTACAAAATGGAAGGATGAATCAAAGATGATTCCAGAGGTCAAGTCTTAATGCCTGTGAGCAGAGAGAAAGGACCTGTGCCTAACAGGGAGACCTCACTTAGTGGGTCAGGGAAGGTCTCACAAAGCTGAAACCAGAATAGAAACCAATCACGGGGGTGGAAAAGAGGAGAAAACAGATTTAGGTGAGGGAATAAGTTTAACAGTGCCTTCACTTGATGGAAATAGTCTACCATAAAGATTAGGGCGAACAGCATGGCAGAGAATAGCAGATGATAAGGTGGTTAAAAGCTAGGTCACGTTGGGGTTTGTAGGCCTTAAAGGTGTATCAGGTATAAGTGATAACATGGAATTAGGACATAAGCCATACATATACATTTTATTTCAAGTGTAATGGGAGCTGCTTGAGAGTTTTACACAAAAAAAACAAATATTTATGTATTTTAAAGTTTACACTGGCTGCCCAGTGAGGAGTGATTGGGAGAGTAGCAAGACTAGAAGTGGGTGTGATGAAGAGGCTATTGCAGTACTACAGTCAACAGATGATGGTGACAGTGTGCTGGAGGGTGGTGACAGCGTAGATGGCAAGAAGGAAAGAGTCCAGATATATTTCAAAAGTATTAAGAGACATGATGACTGAACTTACTGAGGGATTGACAGGATGCAGAAGTTGCGAATAAGGAAGACACTTCCAGTGATGTTTATGACTAGCTTGGTACTATCCACGAAATAGGGAAGACTGGAAGAAGAGTGGGTTTGAGTGCTCAGATAAGGGTGGAAATGAACTCTTCCCTTGGAGAATTGTTGGGTTTCAGTTATAAAATGGGGCAGATCGTTGAAGAACTGTGTTTGGAGAGTAGAGGTTTTTCTAGATATAAATTAAAAGCCATGGTAGGAGACTAGGTGGTGGTGTGGTGGTTGAGGTGCTGGACTCCCACATGGCTGACTGTGGTTTGAGTCCCAGACCTGGCAGCTTGCTTTCTCACTTTCTCTTCCTCTCTCTCTGTCTCTCTCTGGTCAAATAAGAAAATAATAATAAAAACAAATAAAATTATAAAATTCTAAAACAATTAAAAATCCATGGGAATGTTGATTCCACATAGGG